TTTTTTTTTGGGACATTTAGGCCATTTAAGGCAAAACTCCACACACAACGCATACACATAGACTCGAACCCTGAACCTCTTAGTTGGAAGCCTAAGCTCTCATACCAATAGGCCAAAAGAGAGTTGTGTGTCGAGTCACAAAATTTAAAGAAAGTAAATACGAATTTTAAATATCCGATTTCAATAGAAAATCGAAACTTCAGCTTGCGTTGTAGATTTTATTGAAACCGAAACTTATTTCTAGCTTAATTAAAAAAATATTTTTTCCTAAGAAATCGGATAATAGATATCCAGTTCCTTAATATTTTTTTTTTTTCTCTGATACGAGTTTTTTCTCTGATATTTATTAATAAAAAGATTTTAATTATTTGGTTTAAAGCTTTAATAAAAAAACATTTTTCTTAAGAAATCGGATAATAGATATTGGGTTCCTCAATAAAAATTAATAATGACTTTCAAGAAATTTTCTATAAAAAATTTAATGAATAAAAAATAAATTCGAAATTTTAAAAAATAAAAAACTACTGGTTTATTTTAAAAATAAAAAAAATAAATTAATTTCTTTAACAATATTTAGTTTTTAAATATTTAATAAAAAAATTAAATTCAATTTCAATTAGTTTTTAATTTAAAACAATGTAATTAATAAAAAAAAGAAAAATTAATGAATAAAAATAAAAATAAAATAAAATTATTGAAACCTGATATTTTAATGACAATAAAATATATACATGTATTTATTTTTAAATAATAAATAAATACTAATTTTAATATAATCTAATGATTTAAATATTTAATAAATATTTATATATTAGTATTGAAAGTGGAATGAAATTTAGGGAAAAAATATTAAGAAATCTGTTAATGGAAATTACGGTTTCTTTGGAAAGATTTTTTTTTTTTTGGTTGAAACCGTGGAATGGAATTACGGTTTCTATTGAAATCGGATAATGAACTTATGGTTTCAATATGAAATCGGATAATTAAAATCCTTATTTGCTCCTTTTTTTAAATTTTCTTTACTACGCTCCTTAAGCTAATTTAAACTTAAAATTGGATCCTTTTTATAAATTGGCCATATATAATATTATATAGAGTTAAAAAAGATAAAAAAAATTATTTATCTTATTTTTTATTGAGAATATAAAAAAAATTGTAGCTTACTTGACATATAAACCTCCTACGAATAAAGAAATAAATTAAGATTAAAAGATTTTAAATATTTTTTATATTGGAAATATTATTTGAGGTGAAGATCAGCAAAAAATTTTTAATTAATTAAATCCGCCAAAAAATTTGATGGAAAATCCACCAAAAATTATAAATGATATTTTCATATATTTTAATAATCTGTCAAAAAATCTGTCGAAAACATATCCGCTGGAAAAGCCGCCAAAAATTTTACTTGAAATTTTGTCGGAAATATTTTTTAATATTTTGTCAGAGATACATCGGAAAATCTGCCCGAAATTTCGCCGGTAATGAGTGATTTTCTTGTAGTGTGGTTCATCATTTTGCACTGATAATCTCTTATGATATATTTCTAAAAAGAAGTTTGAAAAGATCATATTTTATTCTCTTTTTTTTTTTTAATTTGATTTTTGTTTAAAAAGATTTAAACATCTAAGGAGCTTGATTTAGGGTGAATAAAACTCAATTCTCTAACCTTTCTCGCTTTAAGTTTCTTCAATTCATTTCTAACTAAGCTATTGGATAAAATATAGAGATAACTTTTTTATTTCAAGAAAATTTATTGAAATTAATTTATTCTTCTTAAACATAACCACCACTTAAACTTGATCAAGGTCTGAATGATTTCAAGTTTATTATACTAGTTTTATTGCCCGTGCACCAAGTGCACGTTGCTAAAATTTAATAAATATATAGTATAAGAAGACTAAATTATTATATGAAAAAAATTAATAAAATTTTGTGCTTGCTTAATTGATAGTGACATTAAATGCATGTGAATAAAATTTTAAAAATAAAAACTTATCTTATGAAAATTTAAATTATTTTTTTTATTAGAAATTAAGTTATTAATTTTATCCGTTTAAACAATTCTAATTATTAATTATACTAATGAAAAGTTATATGTTTCACTTAAAATTATCATATATAAAAAAATTAATATAATTTTATAATTCAAAACTAAAATACATATTTTTTTTCCCGTAGAACTAATATCATAAAAATAATTCATTCACATTTAGAAGAAAAGCTCAAAAATTCATTATAAATATAACATTAAGCATAATATTTATATACTAAATTAAAAGGGTAACAAGAAGAATAAGTTTATTATAATTCATTCACAAAAGAACAGCTAATCACCCATAGTTTACTATCTTACAATCATAATAATGCAAATGAATTATTCGTTCATTAGAGATATAATGAAATTAAGATATTTTTTATTTCTCTCGTGCTAAATATATGAATAACTCAAATTAAGATTATTATTATTATTATGATGATAATCATCATTATAGTCATAATAGAAATCACATGTTTTTATTTTTTATTTTTTTATATTTAAGCGTATAATTTTATTGCACATGCATTAAATGCAAGCGAATAAAATTAAAATGTATTTGAGCATTAAATACATGTGCATTAAATGCACTTGAATAAAAATTTTAATTATATGTTTTTAACTTTGTTCAGAAGAAACGACGGCTAAATAATTTTAAAAAGATAATATAGATTTATAGGTTTCTTAAATTTTCTTAACTTTGATCAAAATAGTGGATAAAAAAAATCTTCTTCCTTTTCTCCAAAATAGATCATTTTGTTCAAATTACAAAAAAATCTACAGCAAAAGATTAATGCACATGAATTGATCACTTCAATATATAAGAAATCTATCATTATTAATTTATTATATTAACTAAACATATAAATAAGATCCATTTGTCAATTCATGTTATACATCCTTTCACCAATTCCTCTTATTCCATGAGCAAATCTCCTAAGCAATCTCTAAACCAACATAATTCATACAACCTTTCACCAAGCCTATATAACTTGAGAAAAAATCAACCACTCACAAAGTCTAGTAGCAAAATTAAGAAGTAGAACCTAAACCCAAAAATAAAAAAAAGACTCTAAATTGCTATTGATTTATCCTCTATGTTGGTGATCTTACTGCAATTAATAGCTTCAAATACTAATATTATATAATTAAAATAGCTTGATTATCATAATCATAAGTCTACCAACCAGTCATGAGCACAAGTCTACCAACCAGTCACGAGCATAAGTCTACCAACCAGTCACAAAAGATAACAGTTGTGAAGTGAAGAAAAAAAGAAAAAATCCAGTATTATCACCCTATAAAGACATCCTCTTATATAAATGATATGCTTCAGAAGCATCATTTAAATCAGAAGACTTTATATTTGTAAATCTAAATCAAGCTTGAAGTTATGCGGTCGCTTAGCCTTATCCATCTTTCTAAAAGTAACATATATCCTGCAAAATTTAAGAAAATAAAAATTAAATACATTAGAAATTCTAGATATATGTATAATTGAAAATGATGTTAAATTATGAAACCTTTTGCAGGAAACTGTAGAAATACAATGCTTAGCAAGATCATCTCCATTTCCATTTAAGACAAGCACAGATCTGAATATTTGATATTTGAAGTTAAGAATCTATATGATATAAAATTATCTAATATCCATAGAAGAGTTTACTGTATAAATTCTAACTTATTAAAAAAAAATTAAAATATGAAAGGAAGAAAAATAATATCTTATACTTACTCAACTGGAAGAGAAATTGAAGCTGATCCAATGAATTCGCCCGATCCAACAATTTCTAGCTTGTGTCCAAACATTATATTACACTCTCTTAAAAATGACACGATAGAAAATGACTTTACAAAATCATGACTGGCAATATGAGGCGGTATGCAATCACTAGGTTCATATATATTAATAATGCAATTATCATGTACACAATTAATAGGCAGAACATGCGATGTAATTAATCGTTTTATCATAATCTTGAAGAGATTTGGAATAGGATCAGCAATCACATTACGAAGCATACCCGGAGGGATCCCGTTCTTTTCCTGTAGTTAATTTCATTGTTAGTTTAAAATTTATTTAAAATCAATAAAGATACAAATAAATAAGTTCAAATTACAACCGCATAGTGATAACAACATCCGAATTGTATTGTAACTTGTCCTTTTCCATGCATCCATTTTTTTGGTTAAGAATATGTATGCTCTAAACAAAATTTTAAAATTTATCAAATGTTATAAATGATAAGATAAGATAAAATTCTAAAGAAATGACTAAGAAATATAAATGTTATACTTTTAGACATATTAATCAAGGAACAAATTAAGGAAAACATCAACAATTATATATGCCAAAACTCAAATAAATATGAATATGAACTCAAAGTTTAATATTTTGTGAACATACCTCCAAGTTCATTCTTCCTTCCTTTGTTTTGCAAATCATAGATAAATTGCACAATTTCTTTTTGTTCCATAGAATTAAAAATGCCAATGTGCAACTCTAGGCCATCCAAAATATTTACAAATCTTCTATTTATCCTCTCAAAAGAAACATAATCTTTTTTCATGCTGAAGCCTGTAAAGACTCGTTGATTTCTCTCTTCTATGCAGAGTTGGTGTTCTTCATATTCGACTTGACATTTTCCTCTACTATAAATTTTTGTGTATTCTTCTTCTTGTTCTTTTCAATCTCTTATTTTTTAGATAA